AACGCTTGCCAATCGCATCCAATGTAACTCTTGTTCCTTGGTTGATATCATATATCTTGGCTTCCACCGCTATGCCCCAAAACCCAAGTCTGACTTGATAGTTTCGTCAAGTAAACCAACACTATGCTATGGTGTCCGACACCACCCAATAGATCAAAGTAGAAGATGACGCCCTGCTTTGATAGACCCATCACCTACTAACAAGACCCAAAAGGTGCAGTTGTTGGAAGGGCATAAAAACTTAATTTTTATGAGGGATTTTTATATTCATCACAGGCAGTGTATAAATATAAATATCATAGATAATCAAATTATTGTGCAGTATGGCCTCTTTTCGTTCAACGAAACTTAGCGCGTCCAGGCGACCGCCAGCAACGGGTGAGGATGCCTACTCCTAGGCATCTTAATTTCAATGCCCTCTTCTAGACGGTGTGGTTGCCGAGTCACCTTGCCTCATGTCGATAAATTACATAATTTAATTTGCCTATTACATACTAATAGCAAATTAAAATATAAATTACATCACATGAGCACTCCATAGGACGACTCGCAGGCCGAATACAATAAACGAACAGCCTCAACCCAGCTGTAATAAATAGCGACACACAAGCCGCGCCAAATATTACACACAGATCATCACATATGATTTTGAAGCCATACCATCACATCATTCTCTACAAAAACGAGATAGACGTTTCTACGAACGACGTTATGGGTATATATTTTTTTTAAACATGCAATTTGGCTCCGCCAGCCGATGACGGATAGAACAGATTTTTCGCATGCTGCTACAAATTAACAAGCATAGCGTTCTAGCCGGAATAGCCACTATTGTGTATCAACTGCTTCGCTACATAAATTCACAACCTCGTGGTCAGCCGCGCGATGCTCGCGCGCCGTCGTAAATACGGCCGATTAGCCAATCACATGATGAGGAAGAAAAAACCTGAGTAAAGCAATCCAATACACGCATAATGCTATCCGTTAAAACGATCTATTCTACAGCCAACTACATTAAAATAATCTAGATAAAAACAACGCAAGCACGACTCTCTGTTGGGATACGCGGATGGCTACACGCTAGCACAAATTAATAACCGCGTAAAAACAGGATCACTTGCATGTAGATGATCATAGATTGTACCTTCCCGACGTGCGGCGCAGCGGAAGACTTGGCGAAACACGCGTAGTCGATGTAGTCGACGTCGAGGAAGTAGTTGTACAGTACGACATAGTGTGCTACGTAGCAGCACCTCTATGGACGTCCACATGTACGGAGAGGAGAACGGTGGCGACGTAGCGTGCTAGTGCTCGTCGACGCACGTGGACTGCAGCAGATGAAACACCACCGTAGGAGCCTTTGCGGCAGCCTCCTGTACGTCCTCACACACAAGGGCGGCGGCCAGGCTCTCATGTATGTGGAGGCTATCTGGTATTAGGGTTAATCCCCTCCTGGCCGGTGATTAGCATTTATATGAGATTCTAATGGGCCAACCTCATGGGCCAAGTGGACTGACTATTGGGCATATGTCTCCAACATTAGGCACTTTAACCTGGAATTTCAGTTGTAATTCCCCTTGCTAATAATAAGTCTCCAAAATATGGATGTTAATAATTCGGTGGAGTAGGAGTGCACACACCACCAAAGCCACAGCTAGGCACATCAGTTTCCTCCTCAGCCCATGGCCAAGGCCATTTTGATTAGATGCGAGACTGTGCCCAACCCATATTGGATTGGACTGTTGCGGGTAGAACCAAATGGTAGCAGACTTGCCTGGCATAGCCTAGGCTGGCCGGTAGTCTTGCCTGGCACTATTTCCTATCTCCCGCAATAGTCCAAGCTCAGTTTGTTTTGTGGACTTTACACCTTATCCTTACATAAGTCCTTTTGCAAGTGAAGAAACATTTTCATATGCCAAACTGATTGAGTTTCAGTATCCTGGATCCTAAGTCAATGAAGCTTAAAATTTGATATTATACCATGTTTCAATTTTATCTTCTGTGTTCCTATTATCTACGCAACTAACATATTTGTATTAGTTATTAGGATGCAAGGGACCTTACTTATCATCGATCAATGCAGGTGGCTACAATGTTAGGTAGGATGATGGTGTCGCAGCTGGTGAAGCATGACCACATTGACACTTTGTCAAAAAGTTACGTTTATTCGAGTGAGTGCTTGTGGTGGCGGGCAGGATTTATGTTTCAGGATTTTTATCGTTGGATTTCCTACCTATGTTGTGGTTCATTTCAGGCAATGGAGATATGGAGGAAGGTGGGTCAGATTGCATAGCTAGGGAAGGAGATAATCAGAACACTTTTAGGCTGGTGCTGATTAAATTCCATCCTCAAATATCGTGGTATTCCAAGGTATCCACGAATCTGTATAGAGATGTGGTTGTAAAGCAACCTTGCAATAATTTGTGAACTATGCACAGGCCAAAACTGGAGTTGGACAATATCAACTGGTTAGCACTTCAGGTGTCCTGTCTGTTGTTTGACATTCTACTTCAATGAGATCTCAAAGATATATTTACATGTAGTTTCTTTTTTTATACTCTTTTGCGTAGAAAAAATTGAGGCTCTCCCGTAGCAACGCACAGGCATCTGCTAGTAATTTGATATGTACATTCTCACAAAAAATATTGATCCGTATGTGTTTCTGTATTTATTATTTTTTAGTTTATTTTTAAAAAAACATTCACATTTAGACCATTGGATGTTTTATTTTCGTTTTTGGACATAGGGGGTCGGCGCCATGACCCACGGTGCCATGGTAATACGTCTCGATGTCGAGGGCCACGGTACCAAGGTTGGAGGCGCTGAGAGCGTGGACATCTAACGTGGCGTTGATGTGGCCAAGGCTCGGCGATAGTACCCCTCGCGTCGGCCATGTACAGGATCGGAAAAGACGTGGCCTGTATAAGCTTTCTGCCTTTGACGTCGAAGAAGGAACCAAAGCAAGCTCATGAATGCTAGCTCTAGTAGACTTGTACTAGCTTTGACTGAATCTAGTAAAGAGTTCAAATCTGAATTTGCATTCATCAAAACTTGCTCCAATATTAAATCGTATATAGTCACCACTCACTAGTAAAGCTTTGACTGAATCTAGTCAAACTAGCAGCAAATGAATTAAATGAGGGCTTATTTGGTACAGCTCAGCTTCATTAGTGAAGTAAATTTTTCAGTATCATGAAGTAGCTTCAGCACTAAGCTAAAACCATTTTCAAAAACATTTGGTAAAACATTTTTTCAGGGAAGATAACAGAGAAATTGGATTGGAAGAAGCTAGTATTTCCTGCTTTATCCAGCTTCCTGAAGAACTAAAAAAACATATTTCGCTTTGCTCATGAGATGGAGGGGCTATGTTCAGGACTATGACAGCTAGTACAACTAGAAACTAGCCTAGCGGTCTTGGAAATAGAAGATAAGGTCGAGGCTCGAGATATGGCGCTGAGCAGAGGACTATAGAAACCGAGCCCAATGACATAGTCCACGGAGCCGAGCCCGGCCACATTAGCACCACATCGTCCTGCCACGCCATTTAGATATCGAGGCTCAGCGCCATGGTCTACGGCGCCGAGACTTGTTACCTTGGTGCCATAGACCACGGCGCCGACCCTAGGGTCCAAAAACGCAAATTAAACATTCAGGGATATAAATGTGAATACATTTTAGGAAAAAAGTTAAACAATAAAAAAAAATTGGTATGTGTTTCAGCTATGTGCGTACCAAGTTCCGAAATCAGCAGCGGCACATAGGATTGAGAAAAAAAAAGAGATATTGGGTTTTGGTACCACTTGTTAGAGTACATGCTCAATAAAATATTCTAAAAATCTAATATCCTAAGAACACCAAAGCATAAATATCATGGAAGAAAATACACAATCAAAAACAATATTGAGGCACAATGCTTTGAAAACAGACTCAGCTGTTTGCCTGTATGCTCGAGGCATGACTATGAGAGTTTGTCCACATAAACAACAGTTACACTGGTATCTGAGTGCTCTTGTGGCCTTGTCACCACCCAAACCTGTCACTAAGTCATCTCTTTGTTACAACAGGGTTTTGATACCACTTGTTAGAGTACATGCTCAATAAAATATTCTAAAAACCTAATACCTAAGAACACGAAAGCATAAATATCATGGCAGAAAATGCACAAACAAAAATAATATTGAGGCACAATGCTTTGAAAATAGGTTCAGCTGTTTGCCTGCATCCATGAGGCATGACTATGGGAGCTTGTCCACATAAACAACAGTTACACTGGTATCTGAGTGCTCTTGTGGCCTTGTCACCACCCAAACCTGTCACTAAGTCATCTCTTTTTTACAATAGGGTTGGGATTTTCCATTAAAAAACATGGTTGGGCTCATATTTATGTCCCCAGGATATAGAGTCCAACTCAAATCTATCCTAACCCCTAATTCAACTCAAATCCGATTGTAACCAAATCATAAACATATATATCAATAAGCATCTTGCACATATAGAAAACTATGTCTACCATTCCATTAAAAATATTATTTGTGCTTCCCTTGGCAATAAAAGATAAAATCATGAAAATACATAACAATGTCCAAAATTTATCATGCAGGGAACATATATGGTATTTTACACAACAAGAAATTGAACACTTAATTTGTTACCACACATGTATATAAATAGATGAAGATCTTCTAAAGTGAAAGTAAAATATCTAAATATCACCTTCAGCTTCACAAGGCTCATTGAACTATTTAAGGTTTACCTAACATATTGATGCAAATAACAATAGTTTTATTGGCTTTGTGTATTTGAAACTTTATTCATTAGATGGATATAAATAAATAGACAACACATAGATAGATAGACAAGGCAAGGAAACATACAAAGTTTATGATAGATTATAATCCCAGAAATAGTAAGATAAAGTAACCAACAACTTTGGTTTACAATATATAGCACTTAATGCTGTAGAAACAACATAGTAGCACCACCTAGAACTATAGAGTGATTTATTCATCCAAAATGTTCAGGACAATTGAAGCAACATTCTTGGTGAATCCACTGCAAGACTCATCACCACAGTCATGAGAAGGGATGTCAATGTCGACCCCAAACAGTCGCAAACGCTTTTCTGCCCTTACAATTTCAAGTGATGCCGATTCAGGAAATGTTGTTTGTTGTGGCATCAGATTAGTTGGAGGCATCAACTCCCCAGATCCAAAGGACAAAGGCTTCGATGCTGGCACAATTCCATGGCTTGTACCAAAGCTAAGGCTCTCATGGACCCGGTCATCAATCATCAAGCTAGATGGAGAGAAGATCGTACATGGCACATGATGTGGCAGAGACATGGTACTAGCATGGGGCGTGATATGGATAAACATGTGGTTTGTTCTTATAGTCTTATCGACACCACGGTAGAAGGATAAAACATCACCTTTCTTGAGATTCTTCTCCTTGATAAAGGTGTGCCAGCCCTTGGTCAGGACATAGGTCTTGCTATTGTTCCAGAGGCAAAAGCGGAAGCGCCAGATTAACCCTGTGGAGAAGTCCTCAAAATTGAGGAAATCATCATCATCTTCACCACTCTTGGCCTCTAAAATCTTGGGAAAGCACTCCTCCGCGCATTGCCTTGGGATCAATAGACGATTCAGCTTGCCAACATCGCTTGGAGTTAGAATCTTGCTGAACAAGTACTCCACATCAACGACCTTCCAGCCCCTTTTTCTTTCCCCACATAAATCTAATGCTCCATGACCATTGCTCATGCCAGATTGGAAAACTAGTGCAGGCTTGGATGACCAAGAAGAGACATACCGAGGGGGCAAAAGGGGGTTTACCATTAGGAAGGGATTCAAACATGGTGGGGCCTTCCCCATCTGCACCTCCATCTCCCTTGAAATCGTTCTTGCCGAGAAAGCCATAGATCTAGAATAGAGGTGCTGTGTAGAAAGAATTGGCGAGGTAGGGGGATGGGATGTGGGGGTGATTGACGGAATTAAGTAGTAGCTAGATTAAACTTCTTTATATTCCTATTTATTGTGCTTATTAATTTTTCTTTTGGCGGCATACGAGAAAGTGGCTTTTGTGATTTGGTAGCATTGTGGAATCCTCGACCCTCCCATGAGAAGAGTAGGGTGCCATTTTGAGAGCTTGTCGTATTTGCATGCATTAATGAGTCCATTTCTTTTTATACTATATATTTTAACTATGTTTTTATTATCTAAAAACAAGAAGTGCAATTCCCTCAGTGGTCAACAAAGAATACACTATTCAGCAATTGTCATGGGTTTGTAACCACGGCAAGCATCGTGTTGTCCGCCGAGGGTAGATGTGTGGACCTCTGGTGGCATAAGCACTCAAAACACTTAGGGACACGGGCGATTTATCCTATTTTGGGCTTCTAAGCCCTACGTCCAGCAGTATGGTGTTCTTCGTGTTATGGATGCTCAAACTAGAGTTCTTACAATGGAATAATCGAGAGAGAGTGGTAGGGGATAGTGTGGTGCTATTCTAGAGTTCTTGGTGAGATCATCCGATCAACTGGTCTCGGTCCAATCTTCCCCTTCTACGGGAGCCCATGCCTCCACTTTTATACTGGGAAGGCGATGGGAGTACAAATCAGAGGGTTTCATCTGGGGTTTATGGCTCTTATGCTTCTGATTCATTTGTCTTGGTGTCATTGCATACTTGTTTGTCTTGTAACTAGGGGCCGACAAATCCTCAACCATTCCATGACACCTCTCTTGTAGCCTAGTGCTGACTTCCAGGTGCTGCCTACTGCTGTGGCGCCTTCCCCAGGTGAACCTTCTCTTGGCTTCTTTGACATACTAGGTTCTTTTGACCAGATAGGTCACTAGGTGGGGCCAGAGCCCCCTCATTGTGGGCTTCAGGAGTTCCTTGACCTAACACTTCATGCCCTAGGCATGACCCTACCTAAGGAGTGGCCAACAGCCCCTCACAATTGTAGAATAGGATGGCAGTGTAGTGCTTATGTGCTTGTCAGGCTTTAAGCACCTAACAGATTTTGGAGATGGCTTCTGGTCTTGGCTCGAGAGGATTGTTTGCCCTGAGCCTAGGTTGGGATGGCCATGGGGGCAGTGGCTTGGCCGAGGCCCCCCTTAGGCTAGGAATCCCTATGTCCTTTTTGAGCCCCTAAGTCCTGAGCGATGGTGACTTTGCCTCCTTAGGCTCGTCCTTCTAATACCGAAGACTCCCTTGGGGAGGGCCATCTATGGGCCACCGAACCATCTTGTTTCTTCTAGAGGGTGCACGTGAGTGCACACGATGTTTATAGCCCCCAAGGCCCTGGCTGATTCAAAGAGTTAGCCAGGGGTTAGTTGGACTGTTGCATTCTTAACCTAGGGACTTAACATACCCATATGTTAGACTCTCGTCAATGACTCTGTGACACCTTGGCAAGAGCTTTTAGAAGACAAGGAGTTGGGATTCAAGAGATTGCTAATGCTTACAGCCAAGAGTCGGCATACTTAGAAGAGCTTGTTAATCTAAAATTATGCGGTAGAGGGGAAGAGGATCTTTGGTGAGCACCCACATATCAAGGAGAAAAACTATGAAGATTTTGTGAACCTGATGTCTACATGCAAATTCAAAGAATAGAGTGAAAAGTACAAGAAGCTTCAAGAAAGAATGTGCATGACAACCACTTAGGCACAACTAGGTATGAGGGGAAATCAGATAATGGCAAGCACAATATGCAGATTTAGCAAAGTAAGGGCATCCCGAATCCATGGGACCAATTCTTTGATGGGTGGTACACATGGTGGCTACAAGGGAGGAGTAATCTGAAGACCTTAGAAAATTCTGCTCAAATCAAGTGGAAGAAAGATGCAACTGAACAAGTGTCAAAAGCCATAATTGATAAGCAAACAAGTGCATAATCTTCATGTCTCACTTGGGTCTAGGAGAAAGATATGCCAACCTGCATGCTTGGGCCTAGAACACTTGGTTTGCATGCATTGTGTGTCTAGTCACATGGGTTGGAAACACGCATGGCCTGAGTTGGGGGGAATGTCCAGGAAGAGAAAAAGACAGACTGAGGTGGATATTGAAGCAATAAGGGTTGAAATCACACAAGATCTAAAGGAAGAATTCACACAACAAGTGACTGCTAAAGTGACTAGTGATTTAACGACCATGTTAGTAACCCATGGAGTCAATCTGATACCCTTAGAACCTCTAGTGAGCCCCACTTTTAGATAGAGGTGCCTCCATGACTATAGTAGTGGCAATGAGATCCTAACTGAGCCCATAGAATGTGCTCTTTTTGCCAACCATGGACGTCACCAAGTTGAGGTTGCAAGGGGTCAAGTGTATCATACCATCAACAAACCACACTGCATTGTACCTTGGTTCTTGATGACCACATAGTTGTAATGACACAAAGTCGTTCCAACTAAAAACGTTCAACAAGGCATTCGTGAACACCTTATCATCCTCCTATGAATATCCCTAGTGCTTTATACAAGGACAAGGATTCCAATCTCATCAACCAACTTCTCTAATCCCCTCTTAGGTATCAAGTCAACCGAGGTCAAATTAATGTTCCTAATCTCCCCATAAGTGGTTATCTATCTTGAATCGCAAAAAAAGTGGTTATCTATCTCTCGAACATCAAGATTGGCCCCAATGCCAAAGATCCCAAATTTTAAATCAATTCTTAGAGTCAGAGAGCTAACGAAGCATCTGTCGTACCCCGTGGACTATCCACCAGATCACTAAATAGCAGTAGCGAGTGGGAAATGAGCTGTCCTCCACTCTCTAGTGAGACCCACATGTCATGAGCACTAAAAGCATCTAGGCCCCTAGTAGGTTTCTATGATTAATGACCACATGATTATTGTGACCAACATGTATTTTGTAGAGGCAATTTGAGTTAGGTCATGATAATGGTGATTGTTTTGGCAATCAATGGTCTCCATGCCCTTATCGATGGAAATGGTTTTAGTTTTCAAAGGATGGATGACCTAGTTAAGGATAGACTAGTTCTAAGTATCATTTGGCGTTGAGAGACACTTAAAGTAGTTTAAGACTTTAGATTAATGATTTTCGTATAAGTTATAGTTACTAGTTAGGCGCTTATTTGCATACTCTTGCTCTCTGTTATGTTGACATTCGCTAGAAGCTTTAGTTAATAAATACCTTTATAATCTAGATGAATAGCCACTAAATGCTTTTGAACGAGAGCGGGAGGCACAAGTCACAAAGAATCATAGGAATATGGAAGAACTAGAGGTGGTTATTGAGGGATTTAGTGATACAGATGAAACATATTCAGATTTACAATATGAGCCTTGTATTGAGTTCGGGCAGGAGGGGCTGGGAGGGGGGGTGCAGATAGCAATGCAATGCTTTGCTGTCTAGATAGCAATGCAATTTGTACATGCTTCATGCTTAAATTTGTTTCTCTAATTTCAGCGTCCGGTTCAAAGAAGCCGCAGAGGAGGTTCCACCAGCAGGAGAAAAGGCAGCACTAATATCAGTCCTAGAGGCAGATAGTCCAAGAGAGTGAACTCAACATGACCTAGAGAGTTGACTCATGGATCTGAGAAGAACAAGCAAAATCGTGTAAAAGTGAAGTGCCACCAGGCTATAGGATCTCGCTCCTATGCTATACAGCTACAATCATTTGTAAGTGATGGTTATGTTTTATTGTTACTCTAGCCTTTGTATAAACAAAAACTCATGTACACTGTTAATAGAAGCAATAGTGGCAGGAGCCTAAGGCCTCCTTTGGAACGCAGGATCAGAAAAATATAGGAACAGAAAAAATACAGGAATACGATTAGAATGCATGTGAAAAACAGAGGAATTTTGTTAGAAGGGGTGTTTGGTTTTGTACAGGAAAAACATAGGAAACCAATACAATGAGGTTTCACTGGATATTTTTTTCCTTTGTTTTTCCTATGAAAGTTGAAGGATGGGAAACTTTCCTACAGTTTTCCTTCCCCCATTTCTTCCTATGAACCCAAGGCCTCTACGATGCTGATTCCATAGGATTACTGATTCCTATATTTTTTCTTTGGGGAATACGATTAGAATGCATGTGAAAAATAGAGGAATTTTGTTAGAAGGGGTGTTTGGTTTTGTACAGGAAAAACATAAGAAATCAATACAATGAGGTTTCACTAGATATTTTTTCCTTTGTTTTTCCTATGAAAGTTGAAGGATAGGAAACTTTCCTATGGTTTTCCTTCCCCCATTTCTTCCTGTGAACCCAAGGCCTCTACGATGCTGATTCAATAGGATTATTGATTCCTACATTTTTTCTTTGGAAATCCTATGAACCAAAGGGGCCCTAAATTTTGCATCATCATTTAATTTTGAAGTTGCAATACCTGTGCATTGTGCTTATGTAATCCATATCTGTAACCCATTGTTTACTGCTTGAATTTCACAATATGTAATCCATATCAGTACCCGTGCATTGTGCTTATGTAGAGGGTGTTTGGTTGAGGGCCACTAGCCACCATGCCACAAACAATGGCTCGCCATGGAAACCAGAGCAGATGTTTGGTTGCTGACTTAAATGAGGCTGCCACAGCTTTACTCAGTAGAGAATGAGCCACAAGAGTGTGGTGGATGAAAACCCCACCACCGCCACAACTCGCCATAGCATGGCTATGTTTGGCCAGGATCCAAATAGCCACGTAATCCATATCAATATGAAACATGTGTTACTTGTTATGAACTCATCTCTTGGGTTTTCAATTAAATTCATCTTCCACTATCTGTAACCTAATGTTTATTGCTTGAATTTCATAGAAAGCTATAGAAACTATGCGAGTAGAACCTGTTGCTGATGGGCACAAACCAATGACAAGTGTTGATGTTGTTCCCATGATCCTTTGCCTCTCCCATGGGCAGGTCC